CAAAACAGGCGATGTTACTTTTTAATGAAACACTACACGCCTATAGACTGAAAACCTTGTGCACTTGTGCATGACATCGCCGTTTTCACAAATTCGTGATTTTGTTGTTTACACGGAGATGATAGCTGTATCATCGTTTTCAAAAACTTGATTTTTAGTCCCCCAAAGTTGTCATGTAAATGAATGGCAACAGTGCATTTCAATCTTCAAAAAGATTTCAGTTTTAAGTTGAAAATGATCTTGGGCCCTGACTAAAATCATTTAGTAGTGGTTTAGTCAGTGTTTAACTTGAAAATACATCAGCGGTCTTGATCAATCTGTCTGTCAGTCTGTTACAATATCATTTAATCATGTTAATATAAAAAAAAGAAGAGAGACTGATATCACAATTCATGACTTATGCAGTAAATCAACCAACACATTCTCACCCCAAGGCGTCACCTTTGACCATGCTTCAATATTTGACGTTTTAGGCGCCCTTTAGCGTCACTTACATGCCGCGATCCTACGGCGTCATCTAACTGACGCCAAAGGAAAGCGTCAGTTAGAGGACGCGGTTAGGTTTAGTATGGGGTGGGGGTAGGGTACACGCGATCCTAGGGCGTCATCTAACTGACGCTAAAGGGCGCCTAAAGCGTCAGATATTGAAGCATGGTCAAATGCTTCCCAAGGCGTCAGTTAGGTGACGCCTTGGGAGTGAGAATGGGCTGAATCAACACATTCTCAAGCCAAGGCGTCACCTAACTGAAGCCTTGGGAAGCATTTTGACCATGCTTCCATATCTGAGCATTAGGCGCCCTTTAGCCTCAGTAGATGACGCCCTAGGATCGCGTGTAGCCCTACCCCCACCCCAGACCTAAACCTACCCGCGTCATCTAACTGACACTTTTCCTTTAGTCATTTAACCGATGCTAAAGGGTGTCTAAAGCGTCAAATATTGAAGCATGACTTTAATACAGATTGAGATGTGTTGTGATGTACATAGCATGCGACACCAGGGTGCTTTGACTGTAAAAAAAATATTAACGAGCATTTTTTGTTTTGATTCCATGTGTTGAAATGGATGATATTACAATGATAAACAAAGTATGTTTTTGTTGAGACCGAGAGAGAATTCATTCAACTGTAGGGGGCTTCATTAAACCATCTCTGTAGACTTTAATCTTTTGTGAAATACAGCACATTGATTTGTCTTTTAAGGAAGAACTGATGAGCCAAGACTAATGAACTTACATGATCATTGACTTCTTCACTGTAACTTCTAAATGCGTTCATCTTGTCCCATTTCCCGCCGTTTCACTGCGTGTGACTGGTCGTTCGAGTGACTGTCAGGCTTGTGTTGTTGATCAGATTCCAGTTCTCCTGTAGGGACGTGCGTGTTCAGTACGTCACCTTGTCTCCTGACTCCCCGAGGGCCCAGAGAGATGGCACATATGGCCGTCCTACTCTCCCCGCTGTCAGACTGGAGAACCACTCCCTCTATCATCACCTTGCCCGTCTTCTTTTCTCTCTAATCCACTGTCAAAACTCACCGTCCCATTTCTGCTCTGATGCCTCAGACAATCAAAAATGCATACTGTACTTCGAGATGCAATTTACTGACCTTTTCAAACTTAATGATCTTGCAAAACAACAGGAAAATTATTTATCCAAATATGTTGCTGATTTTATTACACTTTTGGTCTTTATATATATATATATATATATATATATATATATATATATATATATATATGCACTATATATAAATATGTATGAAGACCTCCAATGCAAGAGCCTCTAAAAGCCACCTCTGTCAAAAATGAAATAATATTCAGTGAATGCTCTCCGCACGTACTCTAGAATACGCTCTTCAAATACTTTCACTTCAAACTCACTAAATCCCAGCCTCAGCCCATTCAGAATTGGCAGTCCTTGGGTAGAAACCTATACATAGGAACCTGATAAAAATGTCAATATTAAACAAAAACTTTAGACTTAGAGGCTTTTGCATCTGAAGTCTTCGTGTGTGTGTGTGTGTGTGTGTGTGTGTGTGTGTGTGAGAGAGAGAGAGAGAGAGAGAGAGAGAAAGAGAATTCAGACACTTCTTTTGTCACCAACATAAAAGGGAAGTATGTGATATTGGATGTAGCCTATGAAAGTGAAACATTTGCTGCATCCCAATTCTACTACTTAAAACTCTTTTTGAGCAAAAAAAGTAGACACTTTTGAGTGTGTAGCAGAAGAGTACACAAACTCTGGGCAAAATATCACGTCACAAAATTGTATCTTTAAAGGATTAGTTCACTTTTGAAAAAACTTTTGCTGATAATTTCCTGACCCCCATTTCATCCAAGATGTCCATGTCTTTCTTTCCTCAGTCGAGAAGAAATTAAGGTTTTTGATAAAAACATTCCAGGATTTTTCTCCATATAATGGACTTCAATGGGAACCGGATGGTTCAAGGTCCAAAAGACCGTTAATAACAGTTTCAGATGCAGCCTCAAATGTCTTTAAACGATATCAGGCGATGAATAAGGGTCTTATCATGCGAAAAGATCGGTTATTTCAAAACTTATTCCAAAAATGTAACTTTTCTAAGGACAAATGCTAGCCTTGCTCTATTCTGTGAGGCGCGTTTGCAACGTCACATATTACGTAATTACGTTCAAAAGGTCACGGGCGACGTAACCGAGAGGAAAGAAAGACATGGACATCTTGGATGACATGGGGGTGAGTAAATTATCAGCAAAAGTTTTTTCAAAAGTGAACTAATCCTTTAATGGTTGCTCTCTGTCATTTAGTTACACACATCCTGTCACCATAAACTGGCATGTCAACCATCTTGTGGCAGTTAAAAATCCTCCAGATTTCATTTAATTTCCTAGGTTTCAGAGAGAAATGCAGTAGCAAGTTGATCTGCCAGTCGCAGGTCTTTCAAGCAGAGTCTGTCCTTATATTTGTCACCATCGTGTTTTGTTAGTGTCATTATCATAGACTTTTAGTTTGTTTTCATTCTTATCATGTGTTCCTTTAAGTTTTCTCCTCATTTGTGAATATGAATAACTACACAAGAACTAATGAGTAACACAATATTAACAATCTAGTAACTATTATTAACTAACAAGAAACTCCGATTAACGAACTAGTAAGTAATAGCGCACAGACGAAAGTGGTAGTTCACTATTAAGTAATCAATAACTACTATTTTTTTAATACTTCCCAGAGAACTACTGAAAAAGTTTATTGATAATCTAGTAACTACTAGTAACTACTATTAACTAAAAGAAACTCTTATTAACGAATTAGTAAGTAATAGCTCACAGATGAAAGTGTTAATAGATACTTCTGTGGGAATTACTAATTATTTGGATCCGTATAATAAAGTGAAGATCATTGGAACTAACTAGTAATGACTCAAGTGTTACTACATGATCTAGTCATGATTTGTGCAAACCTTTGAGATTTTTGGTGGACTTTAGTATACTTTTAGAAAATGTCTTTAGTAACACTTGAGTAATTACTAGTTAGTTCCAATGATCTTCACTTTATAATACGAATCCAAATAATTAGTAATTCCCACAGAAGTATCTAGTAACACTTTCGTCAGTGAGCTATTACTTACCAATTCGTTAATGAGAATTTCTTTTAGTTAATAGTAGTTACTAGATTGTTAATAAACTTTTCAGTAGCTCTCTGGGAAGTATTAAAAAAGTAGTAGTTATTGATTACTTAATAGTGAACTACCACTTTCGTCTGTGCGCTATTACTTACTAGTTCGTTAATCAGAGTTTCTTGTTAGTTAATAATAGTTACTAGATTGTTAATATTGTGTTACTCATTAGTTCTTGTGTAGTTATTCATTAACGAAGGAACCGTATTCTAAAGTGTTACCCTGTGTTCTATTAATTATCCTTGTTTGTGACTACTATATTATGCACCAGAGAAACGTGGGTGCCGTCATCTTTAGAATATTGTCTTTGAACTTCCGGTTTCGCGGTTGCTGTGTATATTTCTATGGCATCGCTGTCGAGGAGTAATTAGCTGGTGAAGTGGATTTACTTATTGTAGAGTTAACAAAAGTTAAAAGCATTTAGAGTGTAAGCGGTCTCATTTCGAAATCTGCATCCTTAGGAGATACTCCTAAGATACTCCATATGTCTTATTTCAGAACAGTAACCATTAAAAAAAGTGACTGCTAGTGAAGCATAAGTTGTTGTAATTTCTTAATGATGTTGGAATGGTCAGATGACTGAAATGAAGCAGCCACAATGACGTACAGAATACAGCCGACAAATGCGACCTCCGGAGGACACAGCCTTTGAAATGAGACTCATCTTCTGTGCACAGTAATGGGTATATTAACCACTCATTTATTATTACTTACATTAATAAACATATTTTATTTATTATAATATTTGAAATAATTAGTATTATATATTTTTTGGTGATACAACCTAATTATTATAATTCATTGAATGATTATTATTATTTATGATTATCATTATTGTTATGGGCTTTTTGCTTTTTAATAGAAAGGACAGTGGAAAGGATATCAAATAGAATAGAAATCAGGCAGGAATTCTAATGAGCATCGTTTGCTTTACTTATGCATGACTCCTGTTGGAAATTGCATAGCATAAAACAGTTGATTATACATACCTGCTCTTACCTTTACTTCTTTAAGCAAGTTCTTTACTGGAATTTAATTCTCTCTCTCTCTCTCTCTCTCTCTCTCTCTCTCTCTCTCTCTCTCTCTCTCTCTCTCTCTCTCTCTCTCTCAATGACTGGGGGGGTTGTCTCTTACTGTGTAAATATTTATCTATGGGATCTGGAGCTTTTGGTGTCCCTCCCTCCCTTTTCTCCCTCCTGCAGTGAGTGGAGCCCCCGTGTCTGAAGCTGTGCATATGAATTCTGCCTCCTCCGGCACTTCTGTATCTGTCTCCATCTTGTGCACCACTGAGAGGGATGTACCAACCCCGTTATTTCTTCTTCCTCTTTTTTTTCTTCCTTTCCCACAGAGAATGGGCAAACTCCAGGGCCTGTTAAATTCCAAGTACATCAGTGGGACCTTTGGGATGTTGGGCCACCCCCACTACCTTCCTACCTCCATATTTTCATCTGGGAGTGTCCCAGCGGTGCTGTACTATTCTTGGAAAAACCGCACAAACTGCAGGGACTTGTCATTTGCTGTAGGGGTCCATGTGTCGTATCGTCGTCGGTTTGCTGTATGCATCCTCTTTGTGGCCTTTCCCATGTTGTTTGGTTGGAATGTAGCTGCTATTTATGGTGGGGGTGTCTGTTGGGGCTGGCAAGAGAGGTTGATTGACTATAGTGTGGTAATTTGAGGAGTATTTGTTGGGTCAGAGCTGTTCTTTTTTTCCCGAGAGAGAGGGGAAACAGGAAAGTGTACACAACCGTGTCAGAGAGAAAGAGCAATGTAGAATGAGAAACGACATGACATGAAACGTGTGAATTTGTCACATTCTTCCTTTTTCGCAGATGCACAGATCTTAGTTGACAGTAAATGGGTCCATGCAATAAATGTTAAAACACACACTGTTCTGACAATGTAAGGACCCGTAACTTTCACACATTATGAGGGGGGATACAAGAAAAAGACTTAACACAGATAAAAATCTGAACACAGGAATTACAACGGCAATGTATAATTCATCCATCTAGTAAATGTATTTTAATTTGTATTGTTAAATTAATAACAATGGATTATAATCATTAATAATACATATTATTAATTTGTGATTGAAAAATAATTGAAGAACTAATTCCATTGAGGTAGAACAAATGCAAGTAGGGGGTGGTGATGGCGCAGTGGATAAGACGCATGCCGTTGGTGCGAGAAACCCGGGTTTGAATCTACTGAGACACCAATGTGTCCCTGAGGAACTTAAGCCCTCGTTGCTCCAGAGGCATGCAACCTCTGACACATATAGCAATTGTAAGTTGCATTTATTCTAAATGTAATTTAAGTTGCTATTTACAGGTTCGTTCTTTGTCTGAACAAAGTTAAAGGGGTGGTAACTAGATTTTGTGTTCCGCTTGCCTTTATCCATAAGCATATGAAAGCAGGAGACTGGTAATGCAAACACATCAGTCACCGACGGAAAATGCGGTATGTTTAACCATATAAAGCCGAATGCATCAGATTTGACACATAACATCATTTCAATCTTAATTAAGAACTTCAGAAAAACCTGCTGCACAAAATGTTCTATTGCCTTATGTGTCTTATTGATACTATATAATGGGGAGATACAGAGTGACAACTATTGTATGTCTAAAGGTAGAATAAACTTAAATTTTATGACAATCATTTCATATGTTAGGCTTAACAGGGTTCAAATTCCATATCAATTTCATTTAACTGGAGTAAATAATATTTATTTAAATTCTGGTTTTGTTAATAAAAGCCTACTGAAGGGATATTGCATTAAGATATATTGTATGTCAACTTAGATTGAAGGCCTATCTGCTGTACTTCATCGATTTATGAATTAAGTCTGATTTGTTTTTATAATGCTATTTATTATAATTTAAAGTAATGCTAGACCTGTAAGTAAACACTGAGCAATCACTCACGACACCCTTTAATCCGAATAGCAATGCACTAACAACCGTTCAGAACACTTAGCAACCACATAGCAACGGAAATGTGAACATTCAAAAAATGCCAAAAAAATCCACTTATAATCATGTTGCCTGATGTAGTCTAGTGTAACATGTGGTGTGACCACCCCTAAAGTTTTAATTCCCGATCAATCAGTCCTCAAGACCCAATATCTATTTTCTCTCTCTCATTCTCTCGCTTTCCCTTCCACCTCTTCTCTTTCCCATCTCTCTCTGTTCTCCTAAGGGCCTCTGCAAACACAGGCACAGGATGCTGTATGCTAATCTCAGATTTAATGATTAATTAGTTGCTGGCCTGCTTTTCTGCAAGGACGGCCACAGATAAAAAAAATAATAAAAACTTGCTTTGTTTTCGGAGTGCGAATGGTGTTTGCATGAAATCATACATGTGAAATAAGCTTTCTATCACACAGAAAACGATAGAAATGCTGAAATCTGGATGTCCCATGAGCATACACACAACTCCGATGGAGGCGAGTGTGACTGTGTGTGTGCTGCAGTTATTATGTAAGCAGCTCAAATGGCCCTGGCATCTCTAAGAGAATGAGTGTGAAGTGGAGTTGTCCTCTTAAAGCATGTGACATAGTCAAGCACTCATCTGAAAGCGTTTGGAGTATATACTACAGCCCGCCTCCCTTCCTCTCACATCTTCCCTGCAAACTAGTGCACATCGAAACAGAAAACCCAGTCATCCACAGTGAAGCCTGCTACCAGAATGTTCCAGGTGATGACATTTGACAAGGATAAGGGTTAAACTGTATGGTCTGTGGGCTAGAGGAATATTTTCCTGTTTAAAAGTCTTGGTTTTGTTTTTGAGGTCTAGAATGTTTCATGCTTGAATGTTCAAAAACCACATTATTTTTCACATATTTTACATTATTGCAGCATCTCTTTCCCCAGTCTGTCAGTAAAACTCTGTTAAGTTCCTGTCTGAAGCCACTCCTTCTGAAAGCAAAATGTGCTCAGATTGGTTATCTGGACCACTGCATTGTAATTGGTCAACTCTTTTTTGTGTATGTCTTAGACGGGTACTATTTTAAACAAGGGATGTGTGTGTGTGTGTGTGCGTGCGTGTTCTTACCAAAGAACTCAAGACTACAGTCGAGGCGTTTGAGGGAGTTCAGAAACATTACTTGCACTGAAAAAACAAATGTATGATCGATAAGTTATGACATGTTTTACATTGCTTTAACTCATCAAAATAAGTTAAGCAACTTTTTTAATAAAAGTTGTACGAGATTCAACTAATTTTAAGTTGGTTTAATGTAATTTAAGTTGAAATGACTTAAAGGTGCCCTCTGGGATAAATCAAATCATACACCAAATTCCATACCAGATGGAGGCAGTATACCTCCAGAAATACCTCCGCGGCCGCGCGCACTCATGTCTTCAAACAACACGGGCGAGCGCTGTGTTGCTCCCTCCCTTGTCTCCCTCGCGCATATTAATCAAATCAATTGACAAGATAGTAAAAGGTTGGAAGACCGCAGTTTCACGTGGATCATTTGGAGATTTTCAGAGATTAGAGACTAAATGAACAACATCTCAATACTAAATTATAAAGGCCGTCTCATAGACAAGCCGGTGCATTTCGACGATATGGGAAAATTAAAGCCCAGGCATTTTTAGTTTATGGTATTTGTTTTGTACATACATTTTTATCATTAGTTTGAATTAATTTGACAGACAGCATTCCCTGATGTGGACCAAGCTAGCGCCTTTCAGAGCTGCCAACTCTCACAAATTCACAGTGAGACACACAACTTTTCACACACTCTCACGCCACATCCATTTTGTCATGCACAGAAAAAGACACGGAAACCGATCTCAGCTCTTAGATTCTGTTAATTTTATTACACAATTCAAACAATAAATGCAGTTTTGGCGCTTGTAAATGTTAGACGACAGATCCCTAGCGCACGTGAACCGGTCATCTCTACTAGCTAATGGTAAAAGAACGCGAACACTGTTGAAAGATATGTTACAACTTACCAAAATGTATTCCTCATGCATAATATTGACCAATCATTTATTTAACTCATCCCTGAACTGAAATTTAGTAGTGGGCTGTATTTCCACACGACATCACGACATGACATCAGGTTCAAGTACACACAAGCCGGCGCGACTCACTCGTGTTACTGTAGTTTGGCTGGTGGTTATGTTGCCCGCCCGCATACCGCCTCCCATGGCCTGAACTGGTATTACAACACCTGCCGGGCTGGGGCTAGTAATTTAGCATGCCAATTTAGGTTATATCTCGGCAGCACTATAACTTGTCAATTTTTAAATGACATCATTGCACTTATTTCTTCTCATTCTTTTGATGTGTGTAGCTCATTTTTTGGATATTTTTACCTCAGTTATTCCATATGGCACCTTTAAAGGGCCCCAGGCTACGTGTTCACCAAATTATATTAGAAACATACTAGGTAAATTACTTGGTACAACTAAAATATTAGGTCTCTTAATGGACATGAACTTGTCAGTGCTGATGGTGAGCAATTAGTTACAGTTGTAACATTTTATAATTGACCAAAAACTGAGCACCAGTAGTGTATCAATGAGAAACGTCCTGCTCAAGTCGTCCTTGCGAGGTTCAGTTGAATAACGAACTCTTCCAGTGTTTAATCATCGACTTGCGCTCGCATTGATATATGGTCAAATCGACGTGATTGTTTGTTACCGTGGTTAGTTACAGTGTAGGAACCCTCAGGGCACGCAGTGCTGACATTGTTATGGAAATGGGTGTCTTTGTTTTAAGTGCGCGCATTGTACATGCTAAACCAATCACAACAGACTAAGCTGTCTGGCCAAAGTATCTCGCGGAAAGGACGTCAGACTATGTCTGAAAGGGAACTATAGTGAATGCAAAACAAATAATTGCAACACAAAGATTATTGCGTGCAAAGTGTAAACCTAACAAAATTTAAGCACAAACAACAGTGTTGGAGCTGCAAACCATGCTGTTGTAGACTATGCAGAAACAAGAGAATTGACAAACTCACAGTGTCGTTTAAACAGCTAAAAAAAAGTTGTTTTAACAACCAACCTTTATGAGGACAGGAGTGGGTTGCAGGGCTGGACATCTTAGGAGAATATTTTCCCCATTGTGACTGTAGACGGGTCTTCGATGCGCATCTTAAGCCTAGTTCACACTACATGATTTTAAAATGTCGGGCTGAACTGTGCAGTTTACACTACATGACTTGCTCTCAGTGAAATCATGAGTGTTCAAGTTGTTAAGCTGTTCACACCACACAACACAGCGTGATTGATCCACAACAGGAGGTAACTCACTACACGAGTTAACAACGCACTACATAGAGATACAACCACGATCGGATGATAAGACCATATCATTTGTGACTCAATGAGAGCTGTTTCAGTACTATAGTACGGTCTAAATCCTGAAAATAATCAAACAAATAACGAGTTGACAACAACACGATTCTATCTGGTCTAGAAACCATGTTTTGTCACGAAAAACCACGCAATAAAACGAACCAGAAATGACGCGAAACTGCAGAGAAGAACACAACACACGAATATGGACGTCAGACAGAAACTAGTGCTGCACACTGTTTGCTCGACGATCTGCTCTGAGAAAAAAAAATGCAAAAAAGAAAAGAAAAAGTAAGATTTACCTGGTGTCCTCAACCCATGCGTTGCTATGATTGGCTGTACTCATGACATCACTGAGATTGAGTCGCGCGACTGCTCGAGATATCTAGCATGCTAGATATTTTTCTGAGCTCGGTGACCTGTCTGCGA